TAGTGTTGCTACTTGCACCTCCACTAGTAACAACACCAACTTGGATAATAAACAAGTAGTTTTGGAACCCATCGTCTTTATGTGTTGATTTCCACATCATAATATCTCCCAAATTCATGATCCTTATTCTTGATAGGTTACTCTAAATGCTTAAACAACCCTTTCATGCAAAAAAGGATTTGAACAACATGAGATTACGCAAAAACTGTATGAAACACCACGAATCAAATTCTTTGATGAAGTCGTCTAACTCAATGATGACCATTGCAGTACTTTGATAGTGGTCCTTGAAAGAGACACCGTCCAAGTTCCAAAAATATGGACTTGTTACACGAGATGATGTCATAGAAGTTCCACCGTTACAATCAATCACGTTTACTTCATCTGTCCGCAATGATAGAGTTATTTCATACCACTCCGTTGTTGCTATGAGGCTCTCCATTCAAATTGCAAACCCCGTCCTTGATGACAAACTTTAATTTGAGGCCATCCTCAAATCACCAATGACGCATTCAATAACATCGATGTCGCCGCACTACTCTAGTTCTACTACCTAAGTAAATCAGCAACATAAAGTGTAATCACAGCAAAAAGATTATTCCGATCTATTGGTCATCACTTTACTCTCATAATGAAAGAAACAAGCATAAAAAAGCTGAAGATGAAATCTTACCGCATTATATACAGAACAGAAGAGTAAAACTACTCTAAAAACAAGCGTGTACCCCTACACCGATGCGCAACATGATGCAAGACTAGAGAGTACCTAAACACAATCAAACAACTAGCAATGTGACCAGTGTGAAGAAAACACAACACAACATACGAGACATTGCATCACATAGCAATTTTTAATTTGATCTCCATCCATCTTTTCACCTTCCGCTTACAATGACAATAATGTAATCTCTTATACCAAATCGCATAAATATTTTCACATGTGCATTCGATGCTCCACTTTACACTATAAGTTAATGGAGTACACATAATAGTAATATATCTACTCTGCTATTCATAAATGGTAAATGGTAAATAGATCAAGCCCGTGGGACCCAAAGGGTCAAAAGGCTAAAAAACACAATACAAACAACTCCAAACTAGGAGAGAACCAAAAGAACCCCCTAGCTAGTGCCCAAAGCACTAGAACGGTAACTAATAATATCTCTAATGTAACAACCTAAATCATAAGGCTCGAGTTGAAGCAGAGAAAAGAAATTCTCGACATCAACTTTATGCGCCACTCGAATCTCTACATACCTAGAACAAGTAAGAAATACATGCTCTTCATCCTCAACTTTTCTTCCATCACATAGCCTACAAATACGTTCACTCCTATCAATGTTCAACCAACGCCCTTCTTCAATCCCAAGACTATGAGATCCAGTTCTATGTCTAGCAATAATATGACGTAAAGAAGTAGATATCTCTGCAAGTAAGTATCCTTGCTCACAATAAACAAGCATAGGATTCACATGAAGTTGATAAAACTGCATCTTGGTGCCTCGTGTGCTCCACATAATGCTGAGAAATTCCTCCCTAATACGCTCGCGTAGGGCAATAGGTTGCAAATTCCAATCGAGTTCCGTCACATTCCACCTCAAAGACCAAGTCACCAAATCTGCAAACCAACCCTTGGGACGTGTGGCATGCAGAGCTTCAAGAGGAAGTCGAGAAGCATCAAGAGATCTCACTCTTTTGACGTAAGTGATAGTCAAAAAGAGAGCTTCAGCCTCAAGAGGTAGACAACCTGTTTCCGCAAGAAGAATTGCATAAGAAGTTTGGGTCCTCACACCCAATTCTTCTTGTAAGAAGATCTTTTGCACCCTCTCCAAACGCTGCCAACCTGTCTTCTTACAACCAGGACCCCACACTTGTGTTCCATATAAGATAACGGGAAACACTAAGCTCCTGAATAAGAATTTCCTAAGACTCCAAGACACTAGATGAGCTCCTCTACATCTATTTAGCAATGAATATAGAGCTTTGAAACCAGCTTCTACCCTCTTTTGCACACAAAGTGCCCAACTATAATCAGATGAGAAATCAATGCCCAAATATTTGTAACTTTTCACTTGTTCCAACTCTAATCCTTTGTAACAGAAAGAGAGCTTGGATCTAGTGCCCACAAGAATGACTTTGGACTTCTCCAAATTGACTTCCATCTGATTTTGAGTACAAAAGCTAGCCAAAGTGTCGAGGTGTTTCTGTAAACTAGTGGCATGACGTGCTAGTAATATGACATCATCTGCATACAAAAGAGCTTTGATGACAAAGCCTCCAAGTTTAACACCTTCGCTATCACAATCCTCCAACCACCTTTCTATATCATCTATGAAAACTCCAAAGAGAGTGGGAGAGAGAGGACAACCTTGAATGACTCCAATGGTGCTGATAATCTCTTCGGTTTGAGAAGTGTTGATCTTGGCCCGAACTGAGTGGTATAATGCAGCCACCGCTGCCAAGAGATCTGATGGTACTCCAATGGCTTGCAATCTTTGCCATAAAAGCTCACGAGGTACTGTGTCAAAAGCTTTCTTGAAATCAATGAAGGCACAAAACAAAGCTTTTCCATTACCCTTGGATTTCTCCCATAAAACACGTAAAACCAAGATATGGTCTATAGTGTTGAACGTAGGACGAAAACCAGCTTGGAACCGCGCTCTCTTCTGACAAGATTCAGCCCATGTGCTCAACTTTGACTCCACCAATTTGCCAAATAACTTGGCAAAAATACTACCCACCATGATAGTGCGATAGTTTGTCACCAAGGCCTTGCTCCCAGATTTGTGAATAGGAACAATCTTCCGTAGAGACCAAGATGAAGGAAAGCCATGAATAGCAGCATCCTCTAACACTTTCGTGAGTATAGGTCCAATAGCATCTCCTTCCCACTTGAGAAGTTCAATGGAAAGCCCATCCAAATCCTCACATTTACCATTTGCCAATTGTTTGAGTTGAGTCATCACTTCAACTTCTGAAAATAAGCCTGGATTTCCTTCACAATGTGGCATAGATGCAACATTGGGAAAAAAATAAAGCTTTTCAGCAAAAGAAATCAAAGACTTGGGATCAAGAGTAGGTTTAGAAGATCGTACTGCCAACCGCCTCCAAAAGGATTTGGGATTCTCCAAGAGCTCCTTTGTCAAGCACTCTTGCTTCTGCCTCAAAAATGCTTGTTTCTTGGACTTCACCAAGTCTTTGTAAAGTCTTGTCATAATCAATCGATTGTGAAGATCCAAGGATTTATCAAGTGATCTCGCCCTCGCTTGCTTGCAATCAAAGTCAAACCATCCATTGCAAGGAAGACCTCTAGCTCTCCTGGTCTTATGTCTCAAAAAGAACTTAGAAGCAGAGTTTTGGAGCAACTCAGTTAGTTGCAAACTAGATGTATGTGGATCAAGGCTCCAAGTAGTACAAGTCAAGAGGTCTTGGAAATGTTCACTATAAAGTTGCTTCTTACTAGCATCTAAACAAAACTTGGGGGAAGTAGAAACATAGTGACATGTAGGGAGAGGGATTGACGTTGACAACAAAAGAGTAAATAAAAGAGGTGTATGATCTGATTCTGGTTGAGGCTCTAGAATATCAAACGCTGAGATAAATGAACTATTAGTGGCAGAGGACAAAAGATAATCTATAGTGCTAACACCAGTAGAGGAAAAACATGTATTGGAGTGAGAGTTGGGAAAGAAAGAAACACCATTGAGAACTTTCAGATTACAAGTGGCTCCAAAAGTCAAGAAATGCTCAGTCAAATCATTTGTACAGGGATCACAAGAGACTCTAGACCACAAACTATCTCTACTTTCTTCAAAAGAGTGAGAAGACAAGGAACTATCAAATTGTGTAAATTGAGCGGAACTTATGCGGGCATTGAAGTCTCCAACAAGAAAAACTTCACCTTTGTCTTGATATTTGAGAACATCTCCTATGAGCCGATGGAATGGTTGACTTCGATTGCAAGTGCTTGTGGAGTAGATCTGCATGGATAATGGTGCAAAGTAGCAAACTGCCAAATAATTGTAAGATCCTCCAATCAATCCAAGACGAAGCCAATGATATTGTTTCCCAATATCTTGGCTTTCCAAATGTATCATAGGAAGAAGTTCAGATCTGATGAAAGTAGCAATGCCTCCAAAGCCTCTTCCTGCTCGTCGATTTCTATGGTTCCAAGTAGATCCCACCAGAGTAAACCCTTGTATCTCTCCAATAACATTGCTTTCATGCTCCCAAGTCTCAACAATGTTGAGGATGTCCGCCATCTTCCAAATCGGATGTGCACTCACATACTTAGTTGTAGATAGGCCTCTTATGTTCCACATCAACACCCTCAATCTCTTGGATTGCTAGGTTGATGATTGTCTCCTTCTCTTGGTGATAATAGCTTGACTATCACGTAGATAAGCAACAAAACCTGCATCTTGAGCTTCTTTAACTTTTGCAAGCTCCTTCCTCCTTGCTTCAACTTGAAGAGGTGTAAGATCTGGATCTAACCAAATCCTCCGTCCCTTGAGAATGGCCTTGTTAGCTAAAGCCATATCACGTTGAGCTTGATCTACAAACTTGACAATATATCATAGAATTCTTAAGAACCTATTCTAGAACCTATTCATATAGAACCTATTCTTATATCATAGAATGAATAGGTTATGTTTACACTACATTCAACTAGAGGATTAACTATTGAAGATCGTAATATGTCTTTTACCTCTTTTTATACAAATCCAGTACCTTCAATATAGTACTTTCAAACCTTAAATCTATAGTGGATGAGACCGGATTCAAACTCTCAATCTATTCAGAATAAATTTTCATAACTCTAAATCTTAAATTTCTTCTCTTTGTTTACTACTACTTTTATTTTCTTTGTTATCTCTCTTTATTTTTTCAAGAAAGAGTATTTTTCTTATACAAGTTGAAAGATTCCATCATAATCGGTTTAAGAGCTCTATAAACTAACGATTCGGAGACAACTATTTTACACAACACCAATATTGTTGATCACCCTTAGCAATTCCGTTTTCACAAACTCCTCCTCTTCCAGACTTCGACCAACCTGATTTGGTCTGTCCTCCCTTCCCATGTAACACCTTATGGGCCAGATCAGAAACTTTGTGGGCTACATTAGAACCTGCATGTTCAACAGATTGTTCGATATCATTTCCAAACTTCTTCACACCTTCCTTGTGATCGGGCACGAGGTGCTACCCCGGTCCAGCCACTCCTTGATTGCAGTTCGTTCATAAGTCTGCCCTATACAAGTTGAATTCAGCTCCTGATGCAAAGCGCCAGTAGAAGAAGAGGTAACAAAGTGCAAGACGACTTGTTCACCTCAGGTCCACCGTACAAATTCATATTATCGAAGAATCCACTGAAGCAACCATCCTCTGTTCCTAGTGTGCATATCTAGCTCTGAACGGCATCCAACAATCTAGACTGCTTCAGCTGTTACTTTCCTTTCGCACCAAAAGCTCCAACTTGGAATGGCTGTGGAACCCCGATATTTAGAGTCAAAGTTCCACTCCGAATCTCTTGACGAGAATCTTTGGTCCCTCGGCAGGACCCTATCTCCTACTACTTGTCGACACTTTGAGCCTTGGAACAACATTCAAGTTTATTTCAAGAGAAGTACATTGCTCACGAATACATTGTGCCCTTTTGCAGACACTAGTCTTCGAGAGAAACCGTGAAGAACCCAGCATGATCAGGCGGGTATACTCCGACACAGATCCCGAATCCTCGCAGGAATCAGCGGTTGTGCAGCCAAGAACAATGACGGAACGGAGATCTGGTGCAAGGTAGATCCAATTCCTCTTCAAGAGTGGCAAATAACAAGGCACAAACCGCAAATCACACAGAAAGAATCTAAACAAATTCACAAAACGGTAAAAGCCCCTGGATCTGAAATTCTCGCAGACCCGGACGCTGCCTTCCAAATGAGGTGAGCGGTCGCACCTCACGTGCTTACTCAGACGGTTTCGCCCGTCTTTCCCCGAACAGGATACACAAAAACTCAAGGATGGGAACTACGAGGACCGTGTTCTCCGCTTACCTCGAGTCTCTACTATTTAAATCCCGAGCATAGGGCCATGATCGCATTAGATTAAACATTCAGACCTCCTTGGTCGGCCCCGATCGATGAGTAAATGTATGGATTCAACGCCGTTGGCTCATGTATTCACTTTGTGCGTTGCGTGTGTTGATCAGACAGTGAGTTAACTTTGAACTGGTCGCTCGATCAATGTCATTCTGTTCGTGTTCTGATGACTTTCGAATTTAGACTATGATGGTGGGCCTCTCATTGACGCAAACGATTCTCCTTGATTCAGGACCTAGTGAAAATAAATGACGTGCTGGTGCCGGAAGCATCTTGGAGAGGCGACGATTGTGACCATTACATGAGAGCCCACGCAGAACACTTCTCAGTGTGCAAACCGACTAGCAAAACCTGCAACAATCACGCCGATCTCCTGAGCAAGATTGAGGCTTGCCATGATCTGTTTCGAATCGCCCAGCACGTTCGGCAAGCAGTCACCAGATTGATAGTCTTCAGAGACCCGGCCTCGCTCATAGATCTGAAGTAACGATTGAAGAACGCCCCTGTAGAAACCAAAACTCTGCTTGTTTACTCATCAGGATTCCTCCATGACCTCGAGGGCCTCTTGAGCGAAGAAGGGCGGGATGAGGGATGGGAAGCCGATGGCCGGATCCGTGATACTACGGCATATATTCTATATTTTCTGGCAGCCGTGAAGAAATTGGGGGCCCAGATCGGCCTATATCCACAGGAGTTGTTGAGGCTGCTGAACCTGCTGCACATGAACGTGGGAGAAAAGTCGGAGTTTGTCAAGGCCACGCTGTACGCATTGCACGTTCTCGCACGCGACGGCCCATCGGTGAAGGCTAAATGTCGAAGGAAAGGAGCTCTCGACCAGTTGGTCATCCTGATGGACAGCCATGAGGATGCAGACGTGAGAGTCAAAGCAGCCACGACGCTGGCTTTAGAGAGAACGATAACAGCTTTCTCGATCTCGAGAGAGCATGTGAAGTACTTGTGCGCAAGCTGAAGGAGAAGCAAATTCCGAACCTTCAATATTCCGCCGCCCACGCCTTGGCGAATGTTCCTGAATACTACAGCGAATTAGCATGGCAGCCACAAAGTCTCCAGACTTTGGCCATATTACTGCTGGGGAACAGAAGTGCAGAGAGCGGAGAGAGCGGAGAGCAGAATGAGGAGGAGATGGTACATCGCGTCAAAGAAGCCACCATCTTCGAAGGGATAACAGCAGGTGGGGCCAATAATGTGTCGCAAATTGCCAAATGTTCGGGAGTTCTGGAAAACATGCTGAGAGTGCTCGAATCGACCGAACATAATCCTGTACAACTGCAGCTCCCCATTTTCAAGTCATTACACAACATAACCGAAGTACAATCCTGCATATTGAAGATAATATCTATTGGTACAGATTCCATAGAACTCTTGGACCTCCTAATCTACTCGCGGGATAATGAGGAGATCAAGTAGTATGCATCCTCTGTACTGGCAGCTTTAATTCACGAATCGAGTTGGACAATAGTAACGAAGAAATTGAGAAACCGAGCAGGGAACTTCTCTCGGTTAATAAAGTTAATAAAGTCGAGAGACAGGACTCTCTCGACCGAATCCTACCGCGTTATGTGGAGCAGGGAACTTCTCTCGGTTAATAAAGTCAATAAAGTCGAGAGACAGGACTCTCTCGACCGAGTCCTACAGCGTTATGTGGAGCAGGGAACTTCTCTCGGTTAATAAAGTCGAAAAAGTCGAGAGACAGGACTCTCTCGACCGAGTCCTACCGCGTTATGTGGAGCAGGGAACTTCTCTCGGTTAATGAAGTCAATAAAGTCGAGAGACAGGACTCTTTCGACCGAGTCCTACCGCATTATGTGGACCTCGGATGCGATGCGGACTTTTCTTTTTTAAATAGCGACAGGACGAATTTTCAATATTAGAGTATCCTAGTACTGTTCTAGCAATATGAAAATTGTCACTCACTCTCGTAAACACCAGTTCTACTTGCTCTTCTAGTATCAAAACTACTTTCATATTTATTGCTTCGAGTGTTACTACTTCTAGTTTTGGAGCTTCTAGTGCTATTTCGAGAGAGATTGTGTCAAGGCAAAAGATGGAGGCCAAAAGGCAGAGTGCGAGTGAACTCTACGGGTGAGGTTTTCAGTTAGCGCATGGAGCTGCTTACGAGTGTGTGGATTGTCTCATAATGGCCAAGTGTTGCTGGAACTCAGGAGTTTCCTGGCTGTCGTTCCGGATGCTGGGAATATGAATATTTGTGGTGGATAAAAGTGTAGAATGTACAGACGGTGGCCAGCAAAGTCGTAAAGGATCCGACATGAAAGTGATAATTAACCTGAATGCACCAGTAGTGATATCAGCACAGCAGAGTCTTCCTTACGACGGTCTGTGAGCACCTTTCAGGTACATCCTCTTGCTTCTTTATGGAAGTCAGAAGTGATTTCGACTCATGGGGTGAGGCCACGTTCATCCAGTCTGTTTCTTCTTGGAGCCAACCACCATTAGAGGCAGCCGCTACACAGCCCAGATGTTTGATATCCACATGATGCCACGGGTCCTATGCAAGAGCCATAGCTTCCACCTCTCTTGCTCCTGGTCGGATTACAGGCAGCCGCTACACAACCCAGATGTTTGATATCCATGCAAAACCATCAAGGATAGACGGCTCTTACTCATGATTGGGGAAAACTTTAACAAGAGGCCACAGATCATATTCACTTTTCCTGCAATTGACTCCGACCCGTATCCTAGACCACGAAACATGAAATGCTCAAACAATGGTCCATTGTAAGAGCAACATGAAACCAGTCTTGAGTATTTCCAGTTGCAGATTGGGGAATTGGATTTAATAATTGCAGCGTAATTGATAATGTAGAAGAGTTGTGATAATTATTGTTCCTAAGTTTTGGTTTAAAAAAATATATGGCCATATCTAACAAATAAATAACAACATCATGCAGAGTCAGATGGAGTACTTTAAGGCTTAATTCATTACTGCTCAAATCCCAATGAGGTTGACCATGAATTTGGTTTCGTAGCTAATTCTGTGGTTCTTACAACCTCTCAGTTGATAAAATATTGAGAAATGAGTCATCTGCACTCTTTTTCTATACATGGTTCCCATAAATATTTATTACTTTGGGTCAAGTGATGCCATATCGTGCATTAATTCAAACTCATTGAACTTTTTAACGCTAAAAACATTGAGTATCTTGTGTCGAACTTGTACATGTATCACTCATTGGTTTCCTTGTCCATGTTACACGAGGGTTCAGCTGTGCATGTCACAAAAAATATTCTCAAGACATCCTAAACGGCCTTTGAAGCAAGATATTGTATTTGGCAACAGATTCTTCAATACAAGAAAACATACTTTGGTCCTAAAATGTTTTCATTCACATGAAAAACGTGCGGTAGATCACATTATAGTCCAGTCTAGTCTAGTTGGTCTCTCTATACCTTCTATACACTGTATAGAAGGTATTCTCATATTGCGGCTCCTTGTTGTGTGCCGCATGAAATGGTTGAAAAGGTAATGTCAGAAGAGAACCTCGCTGTAGAGCTCGCGACCCGTAGAGTAGTAAATAGATTCCGACGACTCGTTGTACATTTGACCTTGGGCGATATCCGCTCGATGCCTCTCAAGATAAGGTCCGAACTCTGATGTTATTTGCAGTCATTTGAGTGAAAGAATCTGTAGGACGTCCTACAAATTATCTCTTTCACACAGTGATCTCTTTCACCCAAATTACGTCATGTCTATAATATTATGGTGGGACTCATGCTAGTTAAGGTAACTCCCGTGATCCTTCCTCAAATGCCATGATATTATGAAGGTGTTCAAAGAGAGAAATACGGAAAAATATTGATCACCAAGCTAGGACGTCACTCCTAGTACAAGTCCAGCAAATTTCCTATAACTCTGGAAAGGATGGACTCCGAACAATGTAACCTGTGCCAAAACCGCATTAACTAGTATCAGAGCACAAAATAAATGTAAAGCTCACGAGCAGCTCATGACCGTCGTATTATGCATATATATCCTATGTGAACACTTCCAACAATGATTCATTGAAAATGTGATATTCAACTAAATGTAAAATTTCAAGTACTCTTAATCATGTCAAAGAAGCATGCAATTATCGTAAGACTGCACCTACAGTAAAGTGAATGTAAAACTCTGCTGGACCCGAGATACATACGGTCTCCTGCATTGATAGAATCTGAGAAAAGTGGTACTTCTTTTTTACAGTTTTATTTCCACCTTGAATCATACAGCTGTCTCCAAAGATCATGCTAGGAGAGTTGTATGCAGTTCTCATTGTTTCTAAAGAGCAGATTCGGGCCTACTAATATAAAATGGATTGACCATTTTGGAAGGAGACTTTTCTCCTGACATGATAGCTTTGATCTCTCAAATTGACCATGGTGGTCGGTTGTTACGTCTAATTGAACCAGATAGTAGTGTTATTCGTAAGTAAAGAGAGAAGTATAACGATTCCTCACAAATTTTCTTCTGTCGTTGACATCTTAAGCTCCACGTCTGGAGGATTGCACCTAACAGATGAACTTGATATATCGTTTCTTCATTGTGTTGATCATTCACTTCCTTTTCGAATTCTCAGTCAGGACGAGAGGCGAAAACATATGTCCGCATTTGGACCATGCAGCTGAGACGGTACATTTTCTGATCAGAAATTCAGTCCAAGATCAAGAATCGTATTAACTGTGATATCGTCTGTCAGTTTGGACTCATGAATCGAGAATTTCTTTCGTCGTTCAGATGTGAAAGATGTTTAGTGTTTTGCATTTCCGTAGAAAGAAGGAACTAACCTGTTTTTGTGAATGCGAACTCCAGAAGGTCACTCTCGGAGTACAGCTGAACGATTATGCTCGCAATGACGAACGAGGTCCAATTCTGGTTACCTTCACTAATCAAAGCTCTGATGCGATCGCGTCAATCGAACGTCTGCAGCTCGTGAGAGATGTTAATGTCTCCGACAGCAAAACAAGCTACTTCATTCAGAAAACATCACGACTAACATTCAGTGCTTTTACCCCACAAAGGATTCGAGCAAAGGTGCAGAGGCTCCCAGTGTGATCATCTTCACAGTAGACTCCTGGCGTGGCTCGTTGGAATGAAAACTTTCGCAGCATGTCAGTCTAAACCAAGTCAAATCGGAGTAGGTTGTCGCTGCTGGATGAGTTGCAAGCATCCTGTCTGTACTCTTGATGGAGCATATGGCTCCTCTGCTAACTTTTGGTCGGATTGTTGACGTAGATTGGTGATGTCTGTAGCAGTATTGTTGTCATATATTTACTGCACAGAGGAGAGTTGCGGTTTATTGCAAGCACTGCTGCGTGAGGTTGAACTTGCTGACACCAGCTGACTTTCCGCTTGCTCCTGATCGTTGATTTGGAGAAAAAGAAGGTTTTGTGCTCCTCCGATCGACTCATGATCGCTGTCTTGATTTTTTTGTTTCAGAACCATATTCGCAGAAATGTCACGGAGCCCACCTCCATTCGCGAAGCGGCTCGATGACAACCTATACGCCCTAAATGAGAGAGCTGACTTTGACATGTCCATCATCTTCTTCCACGGGCCCTGTTATGATGGAGAGGACATTGGTGAAATGTATTTGCGCGATTGGGTTTCGTTCTGTCAAAATGCTAGCGATGCCGAAGTTGTGTGGCCAAAGGCTTGGCTGGCGGAAGACGTGTCAGGTGCCCGGATATATTCTGCCACTTACGATCTTAGCCTGAAGGTTACATCGAGAAACGGGAGACAAGATTACTACCTGATAGGAGAGAACTTGTTAGGCAGCATATTCCTGCATGCACAGGAGTACGAGATGTGGTCAAAACCCGTGGTCTTGGTGGGTCATTCTCTTGGAGGAATCGTTATCAAGCAACTTCTGCTGAAAGCTCACCACATTCTGGGGGCCGGAAGTGGCGGATACAACAAAGGAAGGGTCAAGCAGTTCCTGGACAACATCATCCTGATTTACTACTACTCAACGCCTCATTGTGGCATGACACTGCGCGTGGAAGAAGATTCGGATGGCCCCCTCAGCCTCTCTTGCCCCCCGAGTCGAATATGGAAAAATGCCAGAACTCTGAATGCGTACCTCTCACGGCTACAGCATGAGTTCAGTCAAATGTCTAGCTTGTACAGGACCGATGACAAGAAATGGCGGAAGGCTACAATTGGAGAAACTTCTATGACTAAGTGGGTATGTTCTTTTCCCGGTATCGAGATTGTTTTCGGATGATATGGATGGCCATTTTAGATTACATGCACGTCAGATGCAAAGTTTCTCTACTGCCAGGAGTTGACTTAGAACATCCCATTCTTCTTTCCTTCGCTTTGTCTCTTTGCGTTTCTGGTGCTCCCCTCCCTATGAAACATAAGTTTTGATTTGTTGAGGTTCGTATGCTAAAGGTTAAGAGTAAAGTTGGATCGTGCAAGCATGGCTGTCTTCAATGCTGGGAACTATGAGGACCATATTCTCGTTTACCTTGACTCGTTTACTATTTAAATCCCGCGCATAAGAGCATAGGGCCATGATCCCCATAGATTAAACATTCAGACCTTCTTGGTCGGCCCCGATCACGTGAGTAAATTCTTGTGGATCTGCAAAGTTGGTCTACGCTAGGAAGGAGGATTCATCGCCCTTGTCTCATGTATTCACTTCTTTCGTTGCCTGTGTTGCTCAGACAGTGTTTTAACTTTGAACTGGTCGCTCGATCAATGTCATTCTGTTCGTGTTCTGATGACTTTCGAATTTAGACTATGATGGTGGGCCTCTCATTGACGCACACGATTCTCCTTGATGCAGGACCTAGGGGGAATACACGACGTGCTGGTGCCGGAAGGATCTTGGAGAGGCGACGATTGTGACAGTTACATGACAGCGGACGCCGACCACTTCTCGGTGTGCAAACCGACTAGCAAAACTAGCAACAGTTATATCGATCTCCTGAGCCAGATTGAGGCTTGCCATTATCAGCTTCGAATGACCCAGCAGGTTCGGGAAGCAGTCACAAGAAGAGTGATAGTCTCCAGAGAAACTTCCTTGAAGGAGTTGCCAAGTTTAGACCTGGCCTCGCTCGTAGATCTGAAGGAACGATTGAAGAACGCCCCCGTAGAAATCAAAACTCAGCTTGTGGACTCATCAGACTTCCTCCATGACCTCGTCGGCCTCTTGAGCGAAGAAGGGCGGGATGAGGGATGGGATGCCGATGGCCGGATCCGTGCCACTACGGCATATATTCTATATTTTCTGGCAGGCGTGAAGAAGTTGAGGGCCAAAATCGGCCTATATCCACAGGCGTTGTTGAGGCTGCTGAACCTGCTGCACATGAACGTGGGAGAAAAGTTGGAGGTTGTCAAGGCCACGCTGTATGCATTGCGCGTTCTCGCACGCGACGGCCCATCGGCGAAGGCTATATGTCGAAGGGAAGGAGCTCTCGACCAGCTGGTCATCCTGATGGACAGCGATGAGGATACAGACATGAGAGTCAAAGCAGCCACGACGCTGGCTTTCGCGACCGACGAGCTTAGACAAAACGAGAACAGCTTTCTCGATCGCGAGAGAGCATGTGAAGTACTTGTGCGCATGCTGGAGGAGAAGCAAATTCCGAGCCTTCAGTATTCCGCCGCCCACGCCTTGGCGAATTTTCCTGAGTACTACAGCGAATTAGCACAGCAGCCAAAAGCTCTCATGACTTTGGCCATATTACTGCTTGGGAACAGAAGTGTAGAGAGCGGAGAGCATAATGAGGAGGAGATGGTACATCGCGTCAAAGTAGCCACCATCTTCGAGGGGATAACAGCAGTTGGGGCCAATGCGTTGAAAATTGCCACGAGTCCAGAAGTTGTGGAAGTTATGGTGAGAGTGCTCGAAGTGATTGAAGATACTCCTCTGAAGCTCTCTATTGACAAGTCATTACGCAACATAGCCGAAGGAAACTCCAGCCTATCGAGGGGAATATCAATTGGTACAGATTCCATAGATCGCTTGCTAGAGGTCTTGGACTTAGACTCAGTGTTGGACTCAGACTCAGTGTTGGACTCCGATGAGTCCGACACGGAGGAATTTTCATTGTTTGGTTTTCGATTTTAGAGTTTGCTAGTATTGTTTGTAGTTTCCATTATACTCAGTCTTGTAAACACCAGTTTTACTTGTTCTTCTAACATCAAGAGTACTTCTAGATTTTTTGCTTTGATTGTTGTTATTTCTAGCTTTCTCGAGTGTTATTATTTCTATGTTTCTCTTTGAGTGTTACTACTTCCACTTTTGGAGCTTTGATTGATATTCCGAGTCTTGTGTGAATTATCGTCAGCAACAAGTTGACAAGAGTCCATTACCAAGATGTATGACGCTTCTAACATCCATATGCACAACGTGGTTGCCATGTTGCAATAGCTAAAACAAGGAAGTACTAGCCTTTGAAAAGTAATGGAATAACTTTAAATTACTCGTGCAAAAATGCATGTTTCAGCTCCCACATCAAATCCAATTTCACAAGCGACAAAAAAACCTCTATTAAGCTTGCCAAAAAAGTGTGACGGAGTTAGCACAAAAATTCAAGATTTTGTTAATCAAGTTAAATTTGTCTTGTGTCTCCAACTACACATATAGCAAATCTCTATAAAACAGTGATGTTGAGAGATGTCAGTCACAACACCAAATCCGTAGACATTATCTTAGAAACGGATCAAAGTACTTTTGTATCATCAAATAAATATCATTGATTCTTCCTCTAATCCTCTCGTCTCAGGTTTTTCTTGCTTAAAGAGTATTGACCTGGATATAGATTGGAAAAAACAAAAACTAACATCGAGCTATATTTTCTTGTATTTTGTCTAAACACCTTAGAAATGTTTCATATCCGTGTTTTTACCAGTTCAATATCTAACGTCAAAATTCCATTAATGGTCAGTGCCCAAAACTTTATGAAGGATAAGAAGAAACGAAATATATTTGCAACTTATGCAATTCCAAAACTTTATGAGGGATACGAAAAAAGGAAATATATTTGCAACTTATGCAATTCTAACATCTCAAGGTGTTCAAGAACCAACAAAATTACTAGCAGAATATGAAGAGAATCAAACGTGTTAAAAAAAAATAAAAATGCAAATACACTTCCTCAGCATTGACCTTATGATTATAGCAGTGATCTTACAAAGGTGCGCAATATTCCTTTGATTCAATCTACATACTCTCCCAAAATGATCTATGTGATGATTCTCACTAAGATTTATTTCCAATGATTTTTCAATAGCCCATCATGATACTAGAAGAGAACGATGATAAGTTAACTTACATCTTTCTGCTTTGCTCAAACCTTTCAATCTGAAGTTTTGTCCTTGTTCTGATTATTCTATTTATATAATGATATTCAGCTGTGTTAAGATACATGCGATCTCTCTTGAAGAGTAGAAATCTAATATCGGTTACGGCGTCCGTGCAGGAGTTGAAAAACTGAATATCCAACCAAAAATACTCTTCATATCTTTTGCAAACTACTGACAGAATATGGCAAGGATTCCAGATGTACTTGTAGGACTGATAGAGTAGACGTTCCGCTTGAATTCGACTCTATGGTCTCCTTGAACTTGCTGAAAACATGGGCATTCAGGATCTGAAGTGAAGTAGAGTGAAGAAGTGTTGAGGCACCACATCTTTGAGCCTCTTTAGATGAGAGAAACTCAGAGCTTACGAAGTCTTCCAAATGCTATCATTTATAGTGATTGGATGCTGGATGCAAAAGTTTATGAATTCTTTGTGACCGTCAGAGAGTAACTAGCACAGAGAGAAAAATTCCCTGGTGGCTTTCCCACGAAGTCTAGGCATCTTACCAGACTTCCTGCACCTCACCTCTAATAGTGCGAATGAGGCCTCGACAATGAATTGCAACTAGCTCCAAATCTCAAGAGCAAATTGAAGCTATCAGTAGCAAGTTGGCGAAATCTTCGCAAGTTGAACGGCTTGAAGATATCGAACTTACTTACATTGCTTTCTTAAAAGTCTTAGAAGCAGTCGATCATTCTTCAGTGCCGAGTACAGCGGATGAATACTGTCGCAGTGCATTCCTGTAAATATCATTATGTCTATTACTTACGTGGTGGCTGCTGGAAATTGGACATCGAAGAACCTTTAGACCAGGAATTCCTCACTCATCTTGACGGTACAGAGTTGTAATTATTGAGATTGTTCTGCATGAGTAGGTGCTTAACTCCATCTAGCTTCAAGTGGTCAAGGAAATGCTATATTCTTCGTAACGAAGCACCCGTTCTAACCATAACCTGCATTCAATATATAACTGAATAATATTTTCCTGCGTGACAAAACCACAGATTTCGACTATGCCTTCTATATGGACTTAAGAGAAGGTCACCAATGGTCTTTCTTTAAGGAAGTAAGCCCATTGGAGACCTTACTCTTAGAAAGTGATACATTCGTACGACGAGTTTCAGATCGCGAGTTCGTCCAGTAAGCTTTGACTATGATCTGAACATAAGTCCTGCGGAGATTCTTCAGACTTCACTAAGGTTCCGTAGAGGGCACTTAACATAGTATAACTTAGCTCCTAATAGATTCAAAAGAATTAGGACGTTTTATACTTCATGTTACATCCAGTATTCTTTATTCTGTCTATAATGTTTTAGACAAATGATTTGCAGTGCATTACATTACAGCCTGGATTAACCTCTACAATTGAGAAGAAAATAACCTCCATAAGTGATGTCTTTTCTAGAACTCCTGTTATCACGGGGTACTGACAGACCGTCTGCATGTAGGAGACATGAGAGGCCCGATTGGATAATTTGTCATTTATCAGAGGGGGATGAACTCTCATTTCGTTTTTGCTCCCCGAGTTGGTTCTTGTCTCGGATTTATATTGGTATCTTTGTCAATGGGGTTGCCTTGCGCTTTAGTTCAATGTGTCTCTTCTTCTTGAGGAGACGCATGGAACTCAAAAATGAACAAGAACGAACAAGAATGAGGTCCTCTCTTGTTTTCTTGGATGTTGTTAAAGAGCGGAATGTTTGTTCTTTAAAGACTGTTATTTCTAAATTATGTGAGTTCGGGTAAAGCATGTAAGCTGTCATCTAAGGATTTAGTAACGATGACCATATAATGCAGTCTTCGTATCACGACAATCAGTGCAGTTCTTTCACCTCAGATATTCAGATCAGCACCACTGAAGGCGAGGACTTAGCTTCGAGAGTGGCCAGAAAGATCACGTATACGTAGTCTTTTTTTGCTTATGCCCCTTCAGGTCAAATGAGTTTCCAGCGAACTCGCAGTTCTCCATTTCCATGTTCTATATATCGGAATATCTAAATCCAAGCAATAATACAAATGGACTGAAATGTTCTCACTCTTTAGTTCTCCACTTTATTCAAAGGCGAATATTCGAGTCAGTTACTAGAAACCTAGCACTGAATGGTGAGCACTGCCAACTCACTAAGTGAGAAAGCATCTGGTCGAGGTTCTAACTCCAAATATGGAAGAGGTTCATAATAATTCTTTATTGAACAACACAGTGGGCCGCGATTGGATGCTTTTAGGTTTAAGACTGAAAATGATTATCCCAGAAAGTGAGTGCTGGTCATCAGACGGGGGCAGCCTAGATAAAAAATCTGACAGCAGTTTCTGTACTTGTCAAGGATCTCTGAAAACAAGGAACCTTGCCTCTTTACAAATATTCGACCCTTCGTCTTCAATAGTCTTTCAGGAAGATCACCTGACCGCAGTTTTTTGTGCAAACCTATCATGATTGATGATTTTCCCCGTCATGATTAAGGTGTCAAAACAGGGCGGCGGATACACATATTCACACACAGTAATGTAACTGTGACAGAGCTTGTGCTGTTGCTATTTCAGCTTCTATAAGTATCAAGGACACAGGGATAGTGAGGGCATCGGAGTGTACTGTAATGCCAACCCCCTCCAGATCCCATCGTGGACATCTTTATTGTGTTGATCATTCACTTCCTTTTCGATTTCTCAGTCAAGGACGAGAGGCGAAAACATATGTCCGCATTTGGACCATGCAGCTGAGACGGTACATTCTAAGATCAGAAATTCAGTCCAAGATCAAGAATCGTATTAACTGTGATATCGTCTGTCAGTTTGGACTCATGAATCGAGAATTTCTTTCATCGTTCAGATTTGAAAGATGTTTAGTGTTTTGCATTTCCGTAGATAGAAGGAACTAACCTGTCTTTGTGAATGCGAACTCCAGAAAGTCACTATCGGAGTGCAGCTGAACGATTCTGCTCACAATGACGAACGAGGTCCACTTCTGGTTACATTCACCAATCAAAGCTCTGATGCGATCGCGTCAATCGAACGTCTGCAGCTCGTGAGAGATGTTAATGTCTCCGACAGCAAACTAGCTAGATCCTAGGACAATCTACTTCATTCACAAAACCTCACGACTATAATATGCAAAGCTTTTCCCCTACAAGGGATTCCAGCAAAGGTACAAAGGCTCCGATGCTATCATCTTCACAGTAGACTCCTGGCGTGGTTCGTTGGAATGAAAACTTTCGCAGCATGTCAGTCCAAACGAAGTCAAATCGGAGTAGGTTGTCGCTGCTGGATGAGTTGCAAGAATCCTGTCTGAACTCTTGATGGAGCATATAGCTCCTCTGCTAAATTCGGACAGATTGTCGACGTAGATTGGCGATGTATGTGGCAGTATTGTTGTCATATATTTATTGCAGAGTGTACATTTGAGGTTTATTGCAAGCACTGCTGCGTGAGGTTGAACTTGCTGACACCAGCTGACTTTTCGCTTGCTCCTGATAGTTAAATTGGAGCAAAAGAAGGTTTTGTGTTCCTGTCTCATGATCTCATGATCGCTGTCTTGATTTTTTTGTTTCAGAACCATGCTCGCAGAAACGTCAGATAGCCAACCTCCATTCGAGAAGCAGCTCGATGAATACCTATACGTCCTCAATGAGATAGCTGACTTCGCCATGTCCATCATCTTCTTCCACGGGCCCTGTAATGATGGAGAGGACATTCGTGAAATGTATTTGCGCGATTGGGTTTTGTTCTGTCCCAATTCAAGCGGTGCTGAAGTTCTGTGGCCAACGTCTTGGCTGGCGGAAGACGTGCCAGGTGCCCGGATATTTTCTGCCACTTACGATCTTAGCCTGAAGGTTACGTCGAGAAACGGGAGACAAGATTACTACCTAGTAGGAGAAAACTTGATAGGCAGCATATTCCTGCATGCACAGGAGTACGAGATGTGGTCAAAACCCGTGGTCTTGGTGGGTCAT